TAAATGTTGACAATTAATTTGAAATGAAATATTGTTTACAGTATTCATTGGTCAAGCTGGACAATACTTGTAAGATAAATAAACCACAATCAGAGATCATGTGGTTACATGGTGAACATCATATGTACCCGACTGCATTTTACACATGATATTTTGACCATGGAAAAGTATGAGAACTTGGGTTTAGTTGGAGAAGGATCTTATGGCATGGTGATGAAGTGTCGCCACAAGGAGTCCAATCAAATTGTTGCAATTAAGAAGTTTTTAGAGTCTGAAGATGATAAAATGGTTAAGAAAATTGCAATGAGAGAAGTGCGCATGTTGAAGGTAGTACAGAATGTTCACAATATTTTCATTACAATTGTAATACTGTATAATTACTTGATGCATTAAATTGCAGTATGCTCCAATGTGCCCTACTCATCAAGGACAGAACTGGTGCTAAATTGGTTAACCGGGCTATCTGCCCATGTGTTTAGTTAACCCATTAATTTATTATTTTACTCTGTTTAATTAAATTAATGAGTAAAATCATCCCCTGGTTGAGTAAAATCATCTGGTGTATGTTAGACAGAGTACTGTAAAGTAATAAAGTAGGGTGTGTTTGGCAGGTGGGAAGAAGGGGAATGCAACTTGATGGGTCAGGGCCTGAAGTTTGTAGTATCCCGATATCCACTATTAAAGGATCATTTCCACTCAAGAAAATTTTCCACAGAAAAAAAAATTGTAAAATGTGATAAGGCCAACACAAAACTTATAAATTTGAAACAATGATATTTTCAAGTTCTTGGTATGTTTGCATGGCAATAAAACATATTTTTTGTTTGTGGAAACACCACGTAAATTTATTACTGCAAAGCTTTTGATCCGTAAGCCCGGATCTTCATCAGTGCTAATAATATATGACTTGTAATGTTCAATTCACGCCCCCTTTTTATATACAAAAGTGTTGTGATCTGTTGGCTCGCGTCATTTGAAATCTAATTGAATGGCACATCAACAATGTCATTTCAAACGTAGTGAAGTGATTCAAATTAATGCGTGCACATCCAAGACAAACAAAATTAATTTTGGAATCCGAATGATATTTTCGAAAAATGTTCTGTCTGTGGAAATTTTTCTTGAGTGGAAATGGGCCTTAAGGTTTGGTTTGGATATTATCCCAACTGGATACTACAAAATTACTAAAAATTTCAAACATTAGGATAATGCTAAATGCCTTGGTCTGTCAATAGCTTTGAATAATATGAGTCCGCTTTCTTGAAAATAACCAGCCTTTGATTTCTAACTTGGTGGTTTTCTGTAGTTGTTGGCTGTCGAGTCTCCTGTTGTTATTGTAATTTATAACAATGAGAGAAATGTACTATATACACTTGGAACCTTTAATGGTTCAGGGATGCCAAAAATCGTGGTAACCAGTATCCAGAAGTGGGATACTGGATTCTCAGATGGGATACCAGTATTACCAGAACTTTGAATCCTGATATCCAGTCTTGTGGGTTAAATGCAATCAGATTTCACAATAACAACAATCATAATGCATGTTATATACAGAACTCTGGGAAAGCCGAAAGATAACCAGTGAAAAACAGGGAAGAAATGCGAAAAATGCCAGCATTGACAATAAATTTAAATCAGATTGTTCTCTGTGTTTTTATAAGACAGTTGGTGAAAATATAACATGTGAAATGAGAAGCTAACTGCTTTAGCTTGCATTTGGTAACCACACTTTTCCTAGCCTACGGTGTACTCTGACCCCAGCAGAAACATGTTTTGTGAGGGGTCTACGTTTTGGGTAAATTAACTTCAATTTATTCAAAATTCTGAAGCGTGCGCATTTGGCGCTCATTAAAATGTTCTATGGCGGGCTTTGTGCAATAAAATATACCCAGACTGTATATATACCCAACCATTAAACACATGTTCGAACGGACTAAAAAGTTCTTGTCATTCGTACAAACTGTTAGGCTGTTAAACTTGTCAAGATATCCATTTTCTGAAGTCGAAGACAAAGTCGATTTCACACTGTCTAAATGTAGCCGGCATAAAAGCTTTATCACAAGTCGGCTCGAATCCCAGTTTCCTCATTACATTTACCAATAGCGTTTAATGCTGTTTCGTGCACGTTGGTTATCGTGTTGTCTAGGCTCTAGCTCACATATTAAACTGGTCGCCAGGAGGCCAGGCATGCTTTACAAATGCTATTTGTAAGTGAAATGGAGAAGGAAAGGTTGTCTAACTCCTTACGTACAGTGTCCTTGCTGTCCAAGAAATTAATATCGCTTTTATTCTACTGGGACTTTGAAGTAAAGAACACATTTGTATTGCACAGAGCCAGCTATGGAACATTTTAATAAGCGCCAAATGAAAATTTACATTCACCATTCACGCACGCTTCAGAAATTTGAATAAATTGAAGTTAATTTACCCAAAACGTAAAACGGATGACGTATGCCGGGCAAGCTTTTCTTTGTTTATTCGTAGACCCCTCACAAAATGTGTTTCTGCTGGGGTCTACACCGTAGGCTACACTTTTCCACATTCAAATGCTTTGAAAATCAAGCTATTGCCATATCATATATCTTACCAGTAGAGCAGAAACAACAATTTTATAAGGCTTTTAAGTTCTGCTTTGTCTTGTTTCTGTTTGAACTGAACACAGTTCATGCTAGCCTATAATAATTAAATGGTTTTAAATTTAAAGCCATAAAAAATAAAATAAATTTAGACTGAAAATTAGCAATATTGCAATGATATGATAACCAGCTTTTATCTAGTAGACTAGTCTAGTAGACAGCAACTATGTCCTGCTAGATTATTTCTGTGAAGGATCAACATCATGCTGCATGTTGAATATATACTCATTAAATCTGTATCCATAGTCCTTCAATTTTTACATACCTTTAATTTGATTTGTAAAGTGCAACAGAAATAAAAAAATAAATTTTAAGGCTTATATAATCCAACTAACTTTAAGGTTAATATACTTCAGATTGGTTTTGCCATGTTGATTTACCACTCTGTGTTTGATCCAGTGGACATTCGGTTTAAAAGTATGTTACATTGCTGACGTATATCATGTTTCATAGAGAGAAAGCGTACCATGCTGTGAGTGACTTAACCCAGTTGTAACTTGTGTTGCTACTTAATGCACCCAGGACATCTATAACATGATATATACTCATCAAGGGGAGAGTACTGGTGCTCAGTTGGGTTAACTTCAGCGTCAAATTTCTTGACTGACTTATAGCCCATGTTTTCCAAGAAGCGTAACTCAAATGGTCCAAATTATGTTTCTTTCTTCGAGTTAAGCCCTGGAAGAAAGTGGATGTGTGCTGTGGTTGGGGCATGGTCAGGACCATATATAAGATATCTATGGTCAGGATTTAACTTGATGGGCTTAACTTGAAGATTACCTACCTCGTTTTCAGATTGAGACATTTATGAAGTTTTTGGTCATCTTGCTTGGTAGAACTAACAGTTGAAGTCTTTTTGTAGATGGAAATTTTGAGGTCTAATCAGGAGCAGCTGCGACAATTTTAGGCCTAACCAGGAGCAGATCTGTGAAATCAGGAATCGAACCTAATCAGGAATCGAACCTGTGCTGGCTGTGCATGGCCATGCGATCCCAGTGCAGCACTCCAAGCAACTGAGCTACAGAGGCCAGTTGTTGAGTTCTAACCACAAGTGAAATCGCAGGGTCACTGGTTCAATTCCAATTGCTCGGGTACGAGATTGGTTCGATTTCTGCCAGAGGACCTACTGCATACAGATCTGCTTGGTCTTGGTTAGGCTTAAAATTGAATGTAATCTTCTGCTCCAAATTTCCATCTGCAAATTAAAACCTTTAACAAGAGAGATTTGCATATGGTCTGGATAGTAATCAATTAAATGTCAACTGAAGGTATTGCCTATTGTAGTATTGAGCAGCAAAATCATTAATAAAGTGGGGCGCATCGGACACATTGTCACTAGTGAGATGTGTTAGTCACTGTAGAATTTGAAATTGTTCAATTAAGTAGGCTCAAGAACAGTTAGATAATGTTTGTCGTAAACTACAGTTTTCTGAAAGAAGAGGTGTGTTTTTTGGCAGCAAACGGCAATTGTGTGTGAAAATGAATCTATCCAACAAATCCAAGGCACTTTTTGCTATTGGTTATCAGACACTTATTATTCATTATTTATTATACGCTGCAGTAAAACAATATATCAAAGAAATTAGAACAAGGGAATATACCTGTAATACTTAAGAACTTATTAATAATTTATAAAGAAAATGAAAAGAACTTAATCTTAATATCTGTAAATTGGATATTAATTATATGTATATGCGTTGTTTTTGTATTAATTGTCGTTAATTTTATGTATTACTGAATTGTTAATTGTCATTAGACATTATGCTGATCAACCTCGTACCCAGGGTATTTCCTCCAAGAGCAAATACCCTGGGTACGAGGTTGTATGCTGATTATCTGGGACAGAAAAAATGTCATCGAATCGCTGTGGAACTCTAAATTAATTGATGGCATTTTTTGTCTATGACTATGATGATTTATTAAAATTGCGAGAACTATCCACCACGTGTTTCTTGCCTGCCACAGACTGTTTTTCTTGAGAGAATGATTGAAATGCCTGTTTTACCCACTGTCGGTGCAAGAGATGTTTAATACACTCGGGTACCATTGGCTCCCACACTTGTGTGGAACTTTTTTTATTTCCACACATTTACTCAAAACATTGATAACCCATAATTGTGTTTCCTCTATATTTGCAGCAACTAAGACATGAAAACTTGGTGAATCTGATAGAAGTATTTAGAAGGAAGAAACGGTTGTTCCTTGTGTTTGAATTTGTTGATCATACTGTACTTGATGACTTAGAACGATACCCAAATGGTTTAGATCAGATAAGAGTGAAGAAAATTATGTGGCAAGTTGTTAGGGCATTGGAATTTTGCCATAATCACAATGTAAGTACAACACATTTTGTGGATTTAGTGCCAGATCACTTTTTGATCTATTTACACTGCCTCGTATTTGTGTTTAGGTAATTCATAGAGATGTGAAACCAGAAAATATTCTTGTTTCAAAGTCTGGAGTTGTTAAAGTTTGTGATTTTGGTTTTGCCAGGACAACAGGTGTGTGGCTTAATTAATAGACGATTGTCAAAAACAATAATACCAAATCAAGCGCACGGAGCCTCGTTCTCACGCAGGGGCGAAACTAGCCCCTTTTAATTGGGGGGGGGGGGGGCTGCTAGAATTGCTCTGCGAAAGCTGATGATGCCCTGCAGCAAAAATTTTTTTTTGGCCACTATTTCTCCCAAAAATGTTGGCGGCTACTTAATAACTCTACATTCTATCATTTAAAATCTTTCATTGCCCTGCCAATCCAGATGATTTGTACTTTGGGGGGGG